ATACAAAAACAAATTGGTTTATAATCTCACAACCTTCACCTTTCTGACATTCTGAGACCCAAAGAAATTCAGCGCCTTCTGTGCTTTGATTTTAATTCTTTGTTCATTTTATTTATTTTGTACTTTTTTTTATTTATTTACCATTTTAAAAAAAAATTGTATTGTATATTTGTATTGTATTTATAATTACAGTTAGAAAATGACACTTTAGTCATTGGTAAAGATGATATAAGAAAAGTACTAGACGATGTGGCAAAGGCAATTCAAGACAAGATGAAGGCTGGATTAGACGAGCAATATGACAGAATTAAACTAGATATGATAAAAAGAAAACAAGAAGATCTTCTATCTCTTCAGTCACAATTAAAAGATGAAGCTGATGCTTCTGTTAAAAGACTGCATGAAGAACGGGACAAAGAAGTTGGGAAAATTCATGAACAAGGAGATAAAGAACGAGCAGATCTGGCTGGATTAGGAGAGACGTTACAAAAAGCACTGAAAATAGCAAGTAAAGACGAGAAAGAAAAAGAATATATTGATGCTAAACAAAGTAAGTGATATTAATCACATAACTTCATTTGTTTTCTATATATATTACTAAACGTATTCCTTTGTACTTCACACTTTACAACATTTGAAACATTTACAACTATTGAAACATCAGTTTTGCACCATATTTTCCAATATTATCAATTCCTTATTTGATTCAATCTTATTATTCTCGTGTTCATTTCCTGAGTCCAGAAGTTTGTATCAATGCATATTTTACGCCATCTTGCATCGTTTTTATCCCCCAAAAATATAATATATTTCAAATTCATGTTATATACCACTAGCCTCGTTGTCAGTTTCTGTGTCAAAAGCGTTCATATCAAATTCATATTGTACTCTAAATGACTACATCGTAATAGCCATTTTTGTAATACTGAAACGCCATAATTGTTGATTATGAGTATTTGTGTGCCCCCCTTCGAAGAAGACAGGGTATTTTGTTTTGCTTATGTCGGCCAGTCGGTCGGTGTGTCGGTCGGTCTGTCTGTCTGTCGGTCTGTCCCTCTGTAGACCAAATTGTTTCCGCTGATAATCTTGAAAACTATATTCACGTTCAGATAGGGGATAACTAGTAGATCACTCCTATGGGTCACTAAGTCAAAGGTCAAAGTCACAGTGCCCTTAAATATTAGAATAGTTTCCGCTGATTATCTTGATTATCTTGAAAACTGTTAATAACCATGTCTTTATATAGCACATACTGATTGGACATAACTAGTAGATGACCCCTATTGATTTTGGGGTCATTATATTGAAGGTCAAGGTCACAGTGGCCTTAAATGTTAGAATGGTTTCAGCTGCTTATCTTGAAAGCTATTCATCACAAAGTCTTCATATTTCATATAGTGATTGGTCATAAATAGAAAATGACCCCTATTGATGTTGGGGTCATTAGGTCAAAGGTTAAGGTCAAAGGGGCCCTGTATGTAAGAATGGTTTCCGCTGATTATCTTAAAAACTGTTCATCACAAAGTATTTATGTTTCACATACTGATTAGTCATAACTAGTACATGATGCCTATTGATTTTGGAGTTACTGGTCAAAGGTCAAGGTCACAGTCGCCTTTAATTTCAGAGTGGTTTCCGCTGATTATCTTAAAAACTATATTTCACAAAGTCTTCATATTTAACATACTGATTCGTCATTACTAGTAGATGGCCAACTATTGACGTTGTGTTCACAAGGTCAAAGGTCAAGGTCACAGGTGCATAAAGCGCAGAATGTTTCGGTTCGTTATCTTAAAAACTATTTATCACAAACTCTTCATATTTCACATATTGATTGGCCTGATGATGACCCTTTTAGGGTCAAATGTCAAGGTCACAGGGGCCTTAAATGTCAGAATGGTTACATTTATATGATAAAATATATTTTATTCCAGCTACCCTCCAAAAATTACAGCTTTCTTACAGTTTCAGGTCATATACCCGCTATTGGTTATATTTTCTTTTCCTTAACTTCGCTTCGATCCATGTACCCATTAATAGCATGTTTCTATTACAAAATTACCAATAGTATGAGTCGAGGGCTAGAAGGGGGGGGGGGTATATGTGTTGTTCGACATTTCTCGTCTTAAATTTAGTTTGCCTTTTTCCCTGATGCATTAGTTGTGAAAAAAAAGTTCGTTTAATTAACAGGTTTGTACCATACTTATTTCTAGCCAAATATTTTATCACAAGGCTTAATTAAGATTAACCAATGTAAACTACGAGGAAAACAGGGGCAAATGCAGAAAGGAAAAGTTCAAGAAAGGTACCTTTTGGCCAATACAAAAAAGCGTTTGATTATTGAATTTTAAAGAATAAATCGCTTTTTTGGGGTTTCATAAAATAAATTTAAATTTAAAAACAAAAAAAAAATAATAAAAATACCAAATGTCTTTTGACCAAAATAACAGGTCAATATGAAAAACACCCGATCACGATTATACTAACCATTTCCCGAACGATTACTGTCCCGTCTTATTCCTCCACTTTTTGAAAATTTAATGGTCATTTAAATCTGCCTTCTGACAGCATTGTTTGGATGAAATGAAACTTGGTTGTTTAAAGATTAAATGCTTGAGGCAAAATGCGTTTAAAAAGTGAGTTTTGTGATTGACAGTGGTGTCCTCTTTTTGTCGATGTTCACATTTTCGTAAAACAACACCTCCCTTGGAACCACTTGATGGATTTTGACCAAATATGCAGACATGATTCTTAGGTCGTCCTAAAAAGTGGTATAAACGGTTTCAGTCTGGTGCATAAGTTGGCTGCAAAAGATAAAAATATACTGCAAATATGATCATTAAAAACTTGTTCTCAGAAACAGTACTTCCTCGATCGTAGATATGTGACATGTAACATGGCCTGGTGGTCTCATTGGATGAAAAAATATTTATGTGCCCCCCATAAGGGTTCACCTAACTGATATAGTTAGTGTACACATAAACCATTTAAGTCATCGTTTGTGCAACTATAATTCCATAAGCTTACACATTTGGCATGTAGCACTGCTTAGTGGACATCTATATATGTTATGTACGTCATGCCCCTGGGGTAAAAAAGATTCTTCCTTTGTTTAGTGATGTTGCTTAGTTTACATATAATTAAGTAATAAATAATCTTCTCTGGGTTTAGATATTTAGATGAAGCATCATCTTGTAGGCAAGTAAGAAACTTAGATACCTTGACTTCTCGACCCGTAGGAAAATAAGATGACTTCTAGACCCCTTGACACTTCTACCACTTTTTAAATGACTTTCCGACACCTAGTGGCTAAGACATTTCGGCCCCTCTATCAATATTTGTACTTTAGAAGCCAAGATCAGTATTCGTACTTTAAAGACCCAGATATTCAAGAAATAGTTTAAGGTAAATAGCAAATATTTTAATTATTTTCATAGCAAAATATTGAAAACTTTAAGTAAGGAAAAAAAGCAACGTTGTTATTGTTTTAGTTCATTTAATGTTATGTTGCATAGCAAAACAACAGTATTGTTTGTTATATTTTGATGAAGTATACAGAAATGGTCGTGGTAGTGTTGGTAGGTTTACCTCCAGATCTTTCAAAATTTTTTTCAAAACGGGTTCAGAACAGTTAGCCTTTGGGAAATTCTTTCCCTGGACGGGGCCCCTTTTAGCAGTTTTCGGGGTATTTTCCCAAATGGAAGGGACAATTTTTGAATAAACTTTCGAAATGTTTTTAAATGATAAAATAAACAAAGAAAAGTAAACCTTTGCCCAGCCCGGGGAATCTTTTTCCGGCTAGTCCAATATACAGACTTTAATATAGCAACTGCTCAAGTGGTTCCGGTCCGTTTAACAGTGTTAAAAAATTGTTGTAGAATTATAATTGATGATTTATATCATATCGAATTTAACTTTAAATATGACTAGGGCCTTCTCATGAAGGAACATTAATATACTACACCGAGCCTACTAGATCCCAGGATTTTTCCGAACCACTGTTGTGACACGTCAAAATGTTGAATGAATTAACTTTTCGTATTTATATTAGCTACTACTATGGTAACGCAGTAGATAATGCAAAGAAGAAACACAATATTTTGACGATTTTGTCAACATTCTTTCTTCAATTAAGATGTCAGTAATAATAAATTTACACATTTTATACCTAACCAGACTAGTATTTACCTTTTACTTGATTTCTTTGTCATTTTATCATCTGGAGGCCAGGGGCTTTAAACGAGATCTACTCCTTAATTACTTTGAAACTCTATTGCAAAGATCCTTGGATAGATTTCTATAAAACAATGATCACAGTTTCGGTTTGTTGATCAATATGGCCGCCATAACTACAAATAGAAACTAAATATAAATGACATCTTTTCTTTAACTTTCGCGTACATTTTTCAGGTACTCTTTAATTAATGTTCTGTTGCTCAAGATGGTGGTTACAGCTAAATATATGCTAATATCAACACAAACAATCTAACTACAGTGCTGTTCATGTAACAAGCGCTTAAAGAGTATATATATAATTGTGGTAACATTTTTTTCATACCCCCCCCCCTCTCCAAAACATTGGGGAAAAAAAGATACATATATGCAATGTATTTAGAAAAAGTATGCAACTCGTCACTCATTTCTCAACACTCATTAAAATATGAACTCCAACATTTTTGCGCCAAATTTAAAAATATTACATGTAGTTCGAAAATGTTTGGGATTGATAACTCTTAAAGGAACAAAGCGACCATTTCAATGATTGCAAAAATAATAAGTTAATATGTTATTTCGAAGTTACTGCAAGTGAGGAACAACAGAGATGTGACAGATGTAATTTTGTAATTACCCGACTGAACGGCAGTTCCATCAAAACGAACGGCAGTTTAATCGAAATTAACAATTTTGTTGTGTTGCGTATTTAAATATGATAAAATGAAATTATTATTTGTAATAAATGTTGAATTAAATCATCACACCAACGCTGGTTGTTTGTTATATTTCGAAGCTTTATCAACAATGCGTGAACTAACGGAGGGATCCATAGCTCATTGTGTTTGGTATAGGTGCCTTTTAACTACAGACCGATAACAACACAAACGAGCTGAATTTTTATTTCTTTTTTGTTTATGTTTTTCTACATTTTTCCACTTTGAAAACGTTGTAAATATTTACGACCTTTTATCGGTAATTATCGGATTCCGAAGTAGATCGTTCGCATCCTAAATTATGGAACAACGGTAAGGATGTATGTTTTTGCAAAACTTGACCACTGTGGCTTTGCTCATGTGAAACGCTCATGAAACGACAATATATCTTGAAATTTATGGGAAAAAAATAGAAAAAAAAACACAATGTTAGGTTTTCATTCAAGCACCGGATATTGTTTATAAATTGGGTAGTTAAATATTTTTGGAAAAGATTCGCATAAAAAACTACCATCACATCCTACTTTATGTGTTTTGTTTCATTAAAACCGAAATGTCCAACGATGCTCAAAATTTCAATAATCGTGGAACGCCAATATTTCCAAAATCATATACATGTATCTGTATATAGGCATTTTCAAACTTAAATACTTGTTATTATACTTGATTTTGTTATAGCGCATATCA